GCCCAAGATTCAATTTGGTATTTTTTTTTAATGCTTAGGCAAAAATTTTTTACTAAAACTATTCCATCAGTCACAACAGCCACTACTTTGGCAAATTATCAGGCACTCAAAATCCCCCAAATTGCTGCAACGCTAACTAGAAATTGTTACTGTATTTTGAAATCTTTCAGAACATTACGAATTTCCTGGATGACTTATTTTCCTTTATTTACTTTGAAAGTCCAAAAGAACAGGACTCAGTCGAGATATATAGCCTGTTACATGCCTACACTGTGCGGCAGATACGGCTATTTAACAGAGGACCAAAGCCTCGAGGATTTCTTCCTTTTGTACCACGGGTGCCATAATGAAGTGGTGAAAATTGAAAAGGAACGAGGAGAAAAGAAATGCAGTACAAATAATACAGTAGAGAAAGTTTTAAAATATGTATTACTGCTGTCTGTGGGGAAAACACCTCTTTGGATATGTTCTTGACAGATTGAGTTATTTCTGTCTATTGGGTATGTATAAAGACATATTTATGGATTTATAAATCTTTTGAAGAGGGTTGTTATTTACCCAGTTGACTAAAATGGACTCAAACTGTGTAAATAACTGTTTAGGACATGCACTACGGGCCAAATGCTGGCACGGCTTCCACACCCGTGCCTGCCAGAAAAGGCAGACAGGGAAAACATGGAAAAGCCACTGTGCACAGTTAATCCGCAGGCTGCACTGAGGCCCGGCTCCACAGGTCTCGGGGATGAAAAAAAGATTTAGAAGGGTCATGGTTGGCATGGAAATGTACATAAGTTGTTGCAGCAACACTTCTAGGCGTCGCTCTGCATTTAGCAAGGAATAAATCACACTGCCAAAGACAGCCCACGGGGAAGGCTAAAGGTGGGACTCCTGACACCTGTATTATCAAGCAGGTGGGGGAGAGGCAGGGGAAGTCAGGATGGAACGTTTCTATTTGACCTTGGTGGAGGGAACTGACTCTAGTTCTTTGGTGGAGAACCAGGGAAGGAGAGCACGAAGATACGAATCTTAGACAAATAATCAGGAAACTAAAATTTTAGGTCTGACACCGCACGGGGACCTCAACAAATTCTTCGGCTCACCCATAACCTTTCCCCCTCATCTGTCCAATGGGGCTGGACCTGTTTTATCTGCCACCCAGGACTGTTTCAGAAAGGGTCAACTGAGACCATTCCAAGGAGATGATGTATGTAAAAAATGCTTTTTAAAAAAACGAGGTGGTGGTCTTTTATGAAAATGATAACGAGAAACAATGTAAGTGGAAAACTCAAGCAATGTCAAGGAACTCTGGCTCTTGGTCACAATCAAGTTCATCACCAAATGGGCCTGTGGAGAGCACTGTTGAAGGGAAAAGGGACATGCAAAACTCCCAGCTCCTGGTTATGACATGTCAGCGGGGAAGACTCGGGTGGGGCATGTGCCCTCTGAAAACCCTTTTATCGGATTGCGTTGAAGGAAACGTAGTCTGTTATTAACTTTCAATTCAAGCACGTGTTAGCTGTTCCCAAGCCTTCAATGCAGCAGCAGCTCGACTACCTGCGTGCTCGTGGATGACAGATATTTGAAAAGCCAGAAGTGAAAACAGAAAAAGAAACCCAAACAAAAGCACTGGGCTATGACCCCGTGTAGCAATTTTGGAGAACAGGATAAAGAGCTGCGACTCCATCCCCACTTTTCGGGAGGCGCCTGGTGTAAGATGAATTCTGAAAGCAGGGCTCTCTGTGGCCAGTGCTGACGTCACCCTATCTATCACACTGTGAGCCGCGGCACCACAAC